GTTTGCCTTTATAAGCCCCTGACTAATGTAATTCAAAGCTATACTCTGGGAATCCCAGCTATAGATCTGGCTGGTGTCCATCGTCCTGGACAGTATTTAATAAAGATTGCTTCAAATTTGGTAAGAAAATCGTGGTAGTGTTCTTATTCTCACCCAGTGGGATTAGCAACATAATGAGGAAATAGTGGCCTGTAGCACAAATCCTGAGGTTTTTATTAAAACTAATTAGGATTCATGCTACACTGGCTCAATGGAAGACCAAACTCAACAGGGCAAATACCAAATTCTGTAGTTCTATTCCTGGTATCAAGGGTTCTACCCCCCAGCTCTCCTGTCTACAAAACAGCTCTTTCTTGGGCTGGCTCTGCTCCATGGATGCAGTTCTCCTTGGCAGGTGACCCACAGTCCATGTGGCTCTCAGCACTACTGTCTTCCAGGCTCCGACTTTGATGGTCTGTTAAGCTCTACTTACATCATGATGCAACCATGATGTAAGTAGTCCAAAGTCTCACGGTCTTCTACATTCCTCCACTGACATGGTCAGGTTCTTAGAGCAGCACCCCATTCTCAGTACCAACTTTTGTATCAGGAACCTTTCTGTTGCTGTGATAAACACCATGACCATGGCAACTTACATGTGATGCTGGAGAGTTTCTCTCCAGATCCCACAAAGCCCCTGCAAGATCCCATAGCCCACTTACAAAATAAACACACAGATGCTTATATTTATTTAAGCTGTTTGGCCTAATGGCTCTGGCTTCTAGCTAGCTGTTCTTATATCTTAAATTAACCCATTTCTATTCATCTATAAGTTGCCACGTGGCTCGTGGCTTACCAGTATCTTAACATCTTCTCATGGCGACAGCCTCAGCCTTCCACTTCCCAGACCTCTCCTCTCTCTTTGTCCTGCCTATACTTCCTATCTGGCTACTGGCCAATCAGCGTTTTATTTATCAATCAATCATCCACAGCATACATGAGAGTTTGTTTTGACTTAGAGTTCCAATGGGCATATCTCTATCAGCATGGAAAGGCACAGAAGCAAACGGCAGGGACGGCAGGAGGAAAAGGTAGCCACGAACTCACATCTTTGTGGTGATATTTGTGCTGAAATGTGATTTTATTTATATGTTAATAAATAGTTTGCCTGGAGATCCGAGGTCATAGCAAGCCAGGAACAGCAGTCAGGCGGTGGTAGCCCATGCCCTTAATGCAATTACATGGCCGGCAGAGTCTCTGTGTGGTCAAGGGTACAGCCAAGCGTGGTGACATGAACCTTTAATCCCAGTACCAACCATAGAGACCTGGAGGTCTGTATAGACAGGCAGTGACAAGGAAGTCATGTGGTTGAGTTTAGAGCCAATTAGAAGGCAGAACAGAAAGGCAATAAAAACACAAGTCAGACAGGAAGAAGGTCTCTCTGGGAAAGCGATGGTGGCGAGGTAAGATAAGGTAGTCATGACTCTGATCTCTTTGGGTATTTCCTCTGTATTTGGCTCTGTGTTCCTTATTTACTGGGACTATTTAGAATTTTGTCTACACATCTTTAATCGTAAGCACTGTGAACTAGATGGAAGTGGTGTGAAGCTTGGAACCTCAAAGCCTGCAGAGTGGCATACTTCCTCCAGCAAGGCTGCACCACCTATATCTAATCTCCCCAAACTTGGGACGAAGTATTTGAATGTCCTAGACTATGGGCAACATTTTTCATTCAACCACACTTTTGGTTGCTGTTTCTACGTCAAAAGAAGCAAAACTACTAGTCAGGACAAACAGATTAGGAATATGTTACTTTATTTATCCCTCTTTTATTTTTCTATTGCTATGAAGAGACACCATGACCAAAGCAAGTCTTATCAAAGAAAGCATTCAACTTGGGGCTTGCTTACAGTTTCAGGGGCTTAGTCCATGATCACCATGGCAGCAGGCAGGCAGGCTTGGGGCTATTACAGCCTGATCTGCACGCACACAGGCTGAGAGACTATGGCTGGCATAGTTTTACTTTCCTCAAAGCTCATCCCTAGTCAACACCTCCTCTAACAAGGCCATACCTTCTAATCCTTTCCAAACAGTTCCACTAAGTGGGGACCAACCATTCAAATATATAAGCCTACGGGGCCATTCTCTTTCAAACCACTGAACCTTCCCTACTATCTTTATAGTTGTTTATTAAGCATTTACTATGTGTCAGTCAAGCACATGTTATCATGTACTTTGCATACCCTTTTCCTTACTCTTTAAACAGCTATGTGAAAACAGAACAGATGGTGTGAACTTGAGCTTTCAGAAGGTTAATAATCTTTTTGAAAAGCATGGTAGTATGAACCTAGAGGGCAGAGGCAGGGGGATCACAAGTTTGAACTCAGCCTGATATATATATAGAAGGTCCCATGCTACCCTAGGCTACAGAATTAAGATAGTGTTTGTTTGTTTGTTTGTTTGTTTTTAACAACAAAAACCAGGTATGACAGTGCACACCTTTAATACCAACACTCCTGAGGCAGAGTCAGGCAGATCTCTGTGAGTTTGATGCCAGTCTGGTCTACAAATGGAGTTCCAGGAGAGCCAGGGCTGTTACAGAGTGAAACCCTGTCTCAAAAAATTAAAAAAAAAAAAAAATGGAGCCAGGCGGTGGTGGTGCACGCCTTTAATCCCAGCACTCAGGAGGCAGAGGCGGGCAGATCTCTGTGAGTTTGAGGCCCACTTGAGCTACAGAGTGAGATCCAGGAAAGGCGCAAAGCTACACAGAGAAACCCTGTCTCAAAAAACCAAAAGGGGGGGGGGCAGTTGAGGACTAAGATGATACAATGAGGAGGAGGCATTGCAGAATTCATGTGTACTTGATAGTGAGCTTATTTTCTCTACCACTCTTCAATGAAGAAACAGTAAATTCTTTTAGCTGAATTTTATAGCAAAAAAAGATTGCCCAGAATTATCTGAGGAATGCAATGATGCTGGCTGTGAGGTAAACATCAAGAAATCTCACCGGAAGCCAAGGTTAACTGCCACGTTGGGCTTGGCTCTATAATTTTCTTTCTTTTGTTCTCTGTCAGTGCTGGGCTATAAATTCCAGGCTAAGCTCTACCAATGAAATTGCTTTGAGATATTTGGTTGTGGTTTTTTGTTTTGTTTTTTTTAGACAGGGTCTCACTCTGTAACTCTACATGGCCTGGAACTCATTGTATAGACCATGCTGTCCTGGAATTCACAAAGATCAGCCTGCCTCTGCCTCCCTAGTGATGGAATTAAGGGTGTGGGCTGCCACCACAGCAGACCAGTCCTTACTCTTTTTGGGTTTTTTTTGGTTGGGGCTGAGGACCGAACCCAGGGCCTCACACTTCCTAGGCAAGCGCTCTACCACTGAGCTAAATCCCCAACCCCAGTCCTTACTTCTTGAAATAGAATCTGTATGTAGTTCAAACTGGCCTTCTGCTTGTGATTCTCCTGATGCAGCCTACTAAGTACTGGGATTGCAGGAGATTCGCAGTTTTGTTTCTATTGTTATCACGTGATAGCATCATGATAATTCTTTAGTTCCAATAAGCCTTGGCATCAAAATCGTTGGGAGCCTCTCCTCTAGCACTAATCTCCGGGTACCAGAGGGGGCCTCAAATTTCATAAAATCTTTCAAACTGAAGCCCAATATAATGCAGTGTTTATGCTTCAAAATTTTCTTCCCATTACTATTCAGTTACATAAAAAGTATAATATACTGTTGAGCTGGTGATATGACTCAATGGGTAAAACAGTACTTGCCGAGCAACCTGACTACTTGTGTGTCCCATGTTCAGGTGGAGAGAGAACCCATTCCACAAGCTGTCATCTGATTTCCACAACATCGTCACGGCATGCGCACCTGCATCCACCCACATGGCCACACAAGTCTTTTAAAATTTAAAAGTGTTCCATATTACATACTATAAATATGAAAGCTTTAGATCATTATGGTCTCCAAGCCGTTAGTGATGTAAACGGGTATTGTCAACGTGCTAACCGCAAGTCTAAGTGGCTGGCATCAGGACAGTACCGTGCGTACAGTCCCTTTTTTTTTTTTTTAAACTTAGCATTTGTAATTGATTACATGAACCATCTGTAACTGCTTGTGAATCATGTTACAGTTACCCCACTGACATTTACCCAACATTTTTCATGTGGCAAAATGTTTAGTGTAGGAAAGCTGACACATAATAGCTTCAATGTTTCAATAAATCAACTTTAGACACTAGGCTATAGGCGCATCCCATTGATGTGGAGTCTCCGCAAAATTATGGCTGATGATTTCATTATAACAGCGCTTCATCCTAAGCTTCCTGTGTGGAGACAAAATCATTTGTTATCGCCAAGGTAACTTGGCCCCACTGTTGTTATGAGACAGGATGAGGGGGGTGAGCGGTCAAAAGTGGTGAGGACCGAAGTGGAGGAAGATGAAAAACAACCTCTGGGGGTAAGAGTCTACCAGGGAAGTGGTTCGCCGAGTAGAGGCCGACCTGAGCTCCTCTCCCTGGATGAGCAGCCACCTGTCACAAAGGAGGAGCCTGAAGGGACCCCCGATCGGTGGAGGGGGACGGGCCAGGCCGGAGCGAAGCTGCGAGGCCCAGGCTGTCGGCCAGGGGCCAGGCTAGACCGGGAGGGGAGCTCACGTGGTCTCCCGAACACCGCGGGGAGTCGGAGGGGGTGGTGCGGTGGAGAGGAGGCCAGCGCGGCCCTCCCCGGCCGTCCAGCTCCTCCCTCCGGGCACGTGACGCCTGCGTCCGCCCGCTCGCCCGCTCGATCGCTCGCTCGCTCGCTCGGTGGCGCAGCGCTCTGTTTCTGCCCTCCCGCCGTGGCGCCCTTCTTCTCCCGGTCCCGTCCCGCCGCCTCCCCCACTCCTCCCCCGACGCGCCAATCACTGCTCGAGCTCGCGAGCGCCCGCCCCGCCAGCCCGCTCCGCCCGCTCCCATTGGCTGCAACCTCAAGGACGCGTCCCGAAGGCGGGCGGCCACCATTGGTGGGCCGAGCCAGCCGAGTTCCCGGATGAGGGAACATTCTGCGGTATAAAGGGCGCGAGGAAGGCGGGAGACGGCGCAGTTTGAATCGCGGTACGACGGAGGAGTGGGCGCCGGGATCTCGCTGTGCGTCCGCCTGGCCTCGTCTCTTCCCCTCTTGTCCGATCTGCAGCACGGTCCGAGATGGTAACGTGAGAGTGACGCCGGGCGGCCGCGGGCCGTGGGCTCGGGGCGGGCGGGGCCG